GCAATAGAAATTAAAATAGAATATAATTTTTATCAATAGAACAAGAAATTGACAACACTGATTATAATAAAGCATTTAATACATAAATTACCTTAAGTAGAAAAAACATCAATGCTGCTCATATTTTTTTTAAGAAATATTAATTGCTTCAATAAATCAGGATCGAGTCTGTTGCGTTTATCTGTTATGTGGTTGCCTGCGTCAGAAAACAGACGCTCTGATGGGACGGAGGAAGCTGGCACCGCAAGATATCGTCTTGCCAAGGTTGCCAAGGTAGGAAAAAGAGTTTTGTTTTGGCGCCACCAAATCAAAGGACAGAATTCTTCTTCAAGGGGAATTTCAGGTATTTCACAATACCGGTCAAATTCATCAGGTACAGCATTAGTGCTTTCTGTTCGTGAATAAGAAAAAAATACTGCCATTTTAGGTTTTTTACGTTGAGGTGATGTTAAGGTTATATTATCATTAGTGGTTTGTGTGGTGTTATCATTAGTAGTTTGTATTAGTTCATTAAATTGATGACGCATAATTTGGATTGTTGTGCGGCGTAAATCACTAGTACAGAAATTTAAGTTTTTAAATCGTGGGTCAAGAAAAGAGCAGCACAATCCTATCTCACTTGGATCTCCCCAACGTTCAACTAAGTTATTTAAGATCGTATCTTTCACAAGAATTGCTTTATAAATTTGTCCAGTAAATTGCCTGAGCCGGCGAGTGAGTTCTTCCAACATTGGTGTCATAAAGCCAAGTGTTGGGTATTTGGATCCACTTAAAAATTGCGTTGCCTCATCGAAAGGAGAAAGGATTATAATAAGTTCATTTAATAATTCAAATTCATCATCTGAAGGAAGAAAAGAACTCATCGTTTCCGCTCCTCTTCTAATTTCCCTAACAGTATGATTATTAAGAGTTGAATATAATTGTATAATAGCAGGTTTTAAATATACAAGACGTTCAATAGAATAAAAGGTAGAGTTCCATCTAGTATCTACATCTTTAATAACATCTAGTGGTTTTTTGAGGCCTGGAGTAATTTGTAACTGAGCCTCACGAAGTTGCTTTCGTTTTTTTTCTTTTGACAAAATAGAGATAAGTGATTTACATTTTGAAATAAGTCTATCAATCTCCTTTAACCCTAAATTTACACTTAATTGTAATGTATGTCCAGCGCACTTCACATTAGTAACATCCATTTTTTGTACCGCAGATCTGACATTTGCGCCATTATCTGTAGTAATAGAAAAAACCTTTTGATGATTAATATTAAATTTATCAAGAACAAAACTAACTGATTCAACAATATCATCTGCGCAATGATCATCCAACTCTCCAATTTCAAGTACAATTTCGTGCAACTCAAATGAATCTGTAAGCCAATGACAAGTAATTCCAAGATAACTATCATGGGCACGTGAAGACCAAAGATCAAAAGTTAAAGAAACAGTGTCTGACGTTCTTGAAATAAGATCGATAATTTGGTTTACTGCAGAATTATAAGAATCAAATATGATCGTTTTTATTGTATCAACACATGGCATTTTAAAGCGAGGATCAAATTTTTTTAACAGAAGTTTAAAATCATCAATTTCAACAAGATGAATTGGCTGGGCACGTGAAACTATATATCGTACAACTTGATTTGTAAGCTTTTTTTGAATAAGAATAGAATGGGGTTTCATAATTACTTGTTGAATAGTTTGTTGATGAACCTTTACTGACTTATTCGCAAGAGATTCCTTGGTAACATGATGGATATCCCTAAGATGATTTATTAAATTACTTGTCGAACCTTTCCATAAATACTCTGTATCGCATTCTTCAAATAAACATTGAACTTTTTCAGCTTCTTCTTGATTATCTGATGAAACTGTTGAAACATATTTTTTAAAAAATTGCCATACGAAACTTCCTGATTTCCTTTTTTTTTTTGTTCTAATACTACTTAATTTTGAGGTAGATGTTGATGTCGAAGCTAATTCTTCATCGCTGCTATTTCTTTCTTCGTTGTTATTATCAGATAAAGAATCAAACTCATCACTATACAAGTTTTCCATTGTAGATTCTTCTATCTAGATATTAC